TTCTATAAGTCCGTAGTTTTCTCGTCTAAAATCCACATTATTTGTAATGGTTTTATATATCAAATAAGAATAAACATATTTATTTTACAACTAGATGAATTTCATCTGTTATACTACAGCGTTCGGTAACAATTACAATGTTTTACAGCGATAAAAATCGTGTCATCAAAAAGTTGAATTTAAACATCGTACATATGTGCAGAAAAAATTGTAAGAAACTCAAATAATTTTACTTAATGTGCATGTATCGTCTTTCTTAGGACAATTTTCATTGATTTGTTTATTTATTTATTTTTTATTTATATTTTTAGCACCAGGCATTCGAATACAATAGAATAGTTGCAATGCAAGGAAAAGATCAGAGGCATTCCGAATAAATCGTTCATCTTGCGTTCACCGTTCGTTCACCGTTCACTTTGCGCTCGCGTTTGCGCTCCGTTCGCGTTCTGCGTTCGCTCACCGTTCAGCGTTCACACATCGTTCACCAAGTTGCGTTCAGCGTTCACACATCGTTCACTCACCGTTCGCTCTGCGTTCGTTCAGCGTTCGTTCACCGTTCGTTCAGCGTTCACTCACCGTTCAAGTGGGAAAGTAGAACGTTTCAGGGACTGTAAATATAGTTGGCAAAACGAATCGAGAACAGGAAAAACCACGGACTCAGCTACGTTTAGGATCGAGGGCATGAGTTCACAGTCGTGATGCACGATATGGTAAAAATATCATTGTGACATCTTTAAAATTTTAACAAGCAACCAAAATCAATGTATTCTCATGAAGATGTGTAATAACCATTTGCGTACAGTTATTTATTTTATCAATTATTTATAAAAGCAGAATTTCTTCATTCGAAAATAATACTGCAAAGTAATAAGAAGCAAAAAATCTTGTGTCATAAATGACGTCACTAGCCTTGATTTGATTGAATGTATGTCGTTTTACTTCCCTTTCGAGAATTTTTCTCTCATATAGAAACGTCACCATATATCGATGAAGGGCTTCAAATTTAGACCTTTACTCGGCACTCAGGGCCAAGGAGCAGTGAGCGTTCTTTATCGTGCCAACGCCTAACGTGACACGGGGTCTCGGTTTTTAGGTCTCATCCGATGGACTCGCAACTTTCACTTCAAAGTGCCGAGCGCTTGGCTAAGAAACAGTTGCTACCTATTTTTATCGACTTAGGTCAGTCGCGGCTGAGATTCGAACTCACGACCTCCCGATCACGGAGCGAGCGCTCTAACGACTGAGCTACCGTGATCAAGCCTTAACTTGAAACAGTATATGATCTAGAGGAGTGGATCCATTGACTTAATAGTTAAATGATTGATTGTATGTTGCTCTACTTCCCATTCGAGAATTTTTCATTCATATAGAGACATCACCATATACCGGTGAAGGGCTTCAAATTTTGACATTTACTCGGCACTCAGGGCCATTGAGCAGTGAGGGATCTTTATCGTGCCAACTCCTGCCGTGACACGGGGCCTCGGTTTTTAAGGTCTCATCCGAAGGACCCGCAGCTTTCACTTCAAAGTGCCGAGCGCATGACGAAGGAACAGTTGCTGCCCATTTTCTTTTTATCGACTTAGGTCAGTCGCGGCTGAGATTCGAACTTACGACCTCCCGATCACGGAGCGAGCGCTCTAACGACTGAGCTACCGTGAACGGTCTTAATAGTTAAAGATGCTTAATGAAATATGAAATCATAGTAAATTCTAATCTAATCAATAAAACTAAAACAAAATCATCTAGACAATAAAAAAAGATCTTCATAAATATTATGAATTCTGTGGAAGATTACGCCAGGCGGTGGGCCAAATATGAATGAGAAGAGCTTGACTCTTTGTCAGAATGGATGAAAAATATCAGATGGATGTCGAAATCTTGCATTTAGCAATTGAGGGGCAATTTGAAAACCATCCTTCCTCAATGCATAAGTGAAATAAGAGGCATGTACTGCCCCGACCCCCACCCCATTCCCCCAACATTGTCTTTATTTGTAAGGTTCATTATTTGAATTGTATTTTATAGGAACTAGGATACAGAGTAATTCTGCAAGTGTTAATCCAACTTATACCCGTAGCTCCCTTTCTAAGGAGAAAACTCTTTAAAACAAAAAGTCAGTTTTGATTTATTCTAAACAATTAAAATAAATGTGAATTACCATATCTTTATTGGATTCCAAAACTACTTAAAAATCCTTATAATTGCAAAGAAAGATACATAGCGGGTTCCAGTAAATGGTCTACCATGCCTCTTTCTTTATCCCTCACTAAAAATATTTACAGTAGCAAAAGAGAAACTTCAGGAGTACTGAACAACAGTATATTCGAGAGGTGTTGCAAATCAGATGTGGATACTTAGAAACTCCAAGGGACTTTTAGAAAATTTGAAATCACATTATTTTTAAAAAAATCAATAACATCAAAATTTAAGGTACGACTTTTCAACACTTTATAAAACCATTACCCACGATACATTTAATTCCAGGTTTTTGACATTATTGACAGCCGTTTTTTCAATGAAAATGCAACTCGTATACATACTTACCATGTCACTGGTCATTTGCAAAATTATTTTGATACAAAACATCTGAATTGTCCACACAAGTATTCTAAAGTTGATATTAAAAAGATACTTGAGTTTCTGATTGACAATATCTACGTCCTTATGGGACTCTGATACCATTTCTAACTAGAATAAAATTAAACATTATTAATTTTAAAACATTTCATTAGACTCCGTTCACAAAAACCCATTTATATACGGCATACCGATGTTACATATATGCATATAATTTGCAGCGTGTTGTATTTTGACGCATGTGAATGGGTGATACGCAAGATTTACACATGAGAATTAGTCCTAGTTTGAAATTAACTTCTAATTAGACCTTTTACAAAGACAGGTAAGTCAATTTGCTCCCGGTGAATTTTCAACCATGTAAAGTCGCGGAAAAATTACACAGTATATCTATTTTTATTTTCTACATAATATTTCATCATAACAATGTTAAAAATTGCATCATTCATTACATAGAACATTCTTCTCTTTTTCGTCGATTAGTTAAAATAAAAGTGCCATGGAAGATTGCTAGGGAAACCCTTATCTTAAGGTAGAGACCGATAGCAATCACGTGATAGATAGAATTCACATATTAGCACGTGCTGTTTTTCCGGATTCCTTAACGCCGCCAGATAATTATTCTCATTTACACATTATTGTCTATTGATACAAGATGGCCGACGAGGCAGACGATTCGGCCTCGCTAAAATTTCCTCGTTTAAAAGGCAAGTTTTCTACCCAGATTAAATCTTGGCGGTCGTATAGATTGAAACATTTTAATAAGAAACGAAATATAAGTGAAATCAAAGAAGACCATGAGTATACTCTTGATGAAAATACGCCTTGTCCACCAGCTCCACATTCGGCGCCGGTATATATAACTAGTGTGCCTGACGTGGCTTTGAATATAGACGTCAAAAACAATGACACTGAAGATATTAAATGGTATGATGGGAGGAGAGTGATTGAGATCAGACACCTTGCAGATCAAATGTATTGTTCGCAATGTCAGGCACATCTCCATCTGTCAGATATATCAGGTGAATAATTACAATTTTTTGATATAGAACAGAACAGAACATTTATTTTCAAATTTAGAGCCCATAACAGACAAGTATGAATTTATTACAATAATAAGGAAAAGTTATGCCAATGAATAGTATAACAGTTTGTAAATGGCATTGCTCATTTCAACAATAATATTGTACTATTTCAGTTAAAAGGAATACAATATATAGAAGTGTATGGCTACTATAACATGTTATCATTTATGAATTTGCCAACAAAATTAAGAGTTTCCTTGTCTTTAGTATTGAGTATAAACCAAAAAAGTTTTTGTTCATCATCTAATGCTGAGAAATTTGGATAATATGATATACATGTGCAGTATGTTATGTGGTGATATAAATTTGTGTATTAATTTACAATGTATTTTATGTATTTAAATGTAACCAAATATTTCAACTTATAATCCATGTACATATACAATCTGATGAAATATGGTTTAAATGGTGCACATGCAGTTTTCAGAAATCCCATTTGTAAATATAAATATATTTGTTATTGTATTCAATTTTAAACAGATAAAATAAAAACTCAAATAAATACATGTATAATACTACCAGGTGAAACAAGATATGGACTAGGCAGTGTGTTCAACATTCTCTGCAGAAATAACCTTTGTGGCCATTTAAATAAAGTTTCATCTGGAAAGAGGAACAGCAAGGGCGCTTTTGATATTAACACCAAAGTAGCCATTGGTTTGTATTTCAGACTGAATTTGTTTCCCTTCTTTTTTTCTTTTTTCATTTCAATAAATTTACTCTTTTACATGTATCAGGGAAAATCCAGAATTTTTTTCCAGATTGGGGGGGGGGGGGGGGTAGTACAGTAGTAACTCAGGTTTGTAATTAACTTGAAATTTAATGAGGACTTTAAGAAATTTAATTGTATTAACCCTGACCATTCTGGATAACTTTAAAAGTAAAGATTTTACAGAAAGAACCTGTGGGGATTAGATGAGTCAAATGCCCATGCCAAATTTGCAGCTAGGCAGGTATGCATATCGGAAATATTTCAGTTGTACAAATTGACATCTAGGCATTTAAATGTATACATTGCTTGTGAAAATGATGATATCTAGATTCTAAACAAGGTAAACACTTGATCTTGTATTTTCCGCCACAGAAACAGTCTAACACGGGAAGTGATCGACTTCTATTATCTGTATATTGAGTGCATTGTTATGTAGGCATATGGCTCAGCTTATCCCCGATTTTTTATGCTTCATTATTAACAATTACTATCAATAGTAGTATGTATATTTTATGTTTTTAAGGACATGCTAGTCTTGTGGGGATACATACAGGAAAAATAATTGACTATGATGTAAGGAACAAAAAGTGCAGCACATGCCAATATTACTCTGGAAGGATATGACTCAACTAGCTGCGTATGATGGCAAAGATGAATTCAATGTTTACATTGACCCTCGTCAGCCGATAAGCCAAAAGGCAAGCGAAATAACAGGTTTGAAGTACTGTTTCCAAAAGAATCAAATGTATCTTAATGGAGAAGAGGTCAACAGCATCAACATCCACCATGCGTTGTTAGATTTCTTGGATTTTCTTAAATCAAAGAAGTGTCCTGTTCTTGTCGGCCATAATATTATTTCATATGACATTCCAATTTTGTTGAAACTACTGGAGGAGTTTGGACTCCTAGCCTCATTTTTACAATTAATCTGTGGGTGCATAGACACTTTGAAACTAGCCAGAAAAGTTTTCCCCAAAAGTCAGATTAATAACTACAAACAGACCACTCTAGTCAAGACATTTCTTGGTTTTGAATATGATTCACATAATGCCTTAGAAGATGTGAAAAGTTTACATCGACTATTTGAAGAGAAACTTTACAGTCATTGCAAAGATTCTGATGTATTTCCCTTTCATGTGAGGAAGTTGGAGAGCAGCTTCACAGAAGTGATTCAAGAAAAGAAAATTTCAAAGACTGTTGCAAGACGAATTGCAAATTCTGGACTGGGGTTGAAACACTTACAACTTGCTTTTAAGAGGGATCCAAATGTCGGGGTCAAAAGTATTCTCCAGGAACGAGGTTTTAGAGGAAAGACCATTCATGCCATCAAAACCATCCTTGAGGACATGTGTACTGAGGAATGAAAGTGTTAAGAGGTCATAAATGTATTATTACAGCGAGTATGCAATGTTGATTCCCATACTAACTAATAAAGAAAAATATTTGTTTATATTTACATGTATATCTGTACAAATAATCATTCAAAAAAGGATTTAGTGTATGAGATATTGTATTATTAATATTTACATCATTGTACATTTCATTGATGAAACAGCCACTGCTCAAGAAATATGTAGTGGTGAAATGCTTAGCAGTATTCACTGACTGCATGCATGATAAACAGCGATAGTTTTCTTAAGAAATAAAGGAGATAATATTTAATGGATGTAAATATTTCAAGTTTAGGTCAATTTCGTAAAATAATATACATGTAATATTTTGTTCATTTTTATGTTTTTGATGTTATCTGATTATATCAAATTATACCTAAAATTGGAAAAACTTGTAAAGTACCTTGATGATGTTTGATATATTGGTACAATTGTAACTAGTTTTAATTTTTGATTGTGAAATATGTGACCATGGCAACTTGCATATTATCGAATGTATTCACTTAAAATGTTTGAACCATATATTGAGTTTAATATTTGTACATAATCATATATGACAGTTTATGGTGAGATGGGATGTTTCTCTATGATATATAGTATTCCAGAATGATTTCATATTGGATAAATTTAAATTGTTCTCTGGTCCAGAAAATAAAACTATGTGAATCCCTATATTTAAATATAAACTATATAAATGAATTTTGACACAATACAGTTATGACTTTTTAGAACTGTGGATTGATTCTGTTTATAAAACTTCATATTCACTGGATTTTTCTTATATTTGGAACAATCAAGAGATTGTTATTGAAAAGTATATATATATATATATATATATATATATATATATATATATATATATATATATATATATATATATATATATATATATATATATATATATATATATATATATATATATATATATATAGTTTTTTATATATATATATATATATATATATATATATATATATATATATATATATATATATATAATTCAAATAATTTAAGCCATATCTTGGATATGAAAAAAGTTTATATCTTTTTTTGAATATTAGTGCAAAAAGGTCAACAAGGGCAATATGTGTCTAGAATATATAATTATTTGCCTTTGTGATGTAAAATGTAATTAAGAAGATGATATTACAAAGAATTTGCACATTTTCTGCAAAAACCTTTGGTGAATTCTTGATAATCTCTTTAAGTAACTGTAATCTTCAAAAGTGCATCCTTTGTAAAGGAAGGGGGTAGGGTAAGGTGTAAGATAATAAACTTGTGACACGTTGAAATTAAACCCCATTATGTAGTATGATTTTTTCCTGAAATTTAAGATACTTATTGACTAACTATAATATGCAATAAAAAAAGAAATTTGATGGGTAATTTTTTCACAGTGGAAGCAGAAGTGCGAGTCTTTGAGCAATGAATAGGCAATATTTTAACGTAATTTGACCATGCATCTTGGTGAATGTAATTCTGTTTTTCACTTACAATGCTTGATAAATTTAAGATTGATGTCAAATATTAATTCATATAGACAGATGTTTGAATTCATATAAGGCAAATAATAATTGATATAACAATAAAAATTTTATAGCCCTTTTCATATCTTTTTCTTATATTATTTTACCCTGCCTTTTTAGGCCTTCGGTGGATGATGAAGGCTATGTTAAAATTATCAAATTTCTCTTAAGCTAACCCGATGACCTACCTTGAATTTTTAATATGATTCAGAACAAAGTCTCAATACAAACATATATAAAATCCAGAAAATTTCAATGGTTAGTTTTTTTGTTGACAACCTATCAATCTCTACCTTAAAAGCAAGTCACGATTTTGTTAATGACGTTTTTTGTTTAACTTCAATTTAAAAAATAGTCCAGGCCTTTTGAAATGTGACTGAATACTACAGAGTTAAATTATCATCAAAACCGAAGATAGTGTATTTAATGATATGTATTTAATGATAATATTTTAATATTTTCAGTAACATTTACCACATTCTTTTCTTAAAATACTTGCGAGGCAGAATCAATATGCAGTTTGAGTACATGTACATGTATCAGTAATGAAAATGTAATACTCGAATTATATACTAGTCTAGACAGAAGTCACGAATTCTTATAGCTTCTAGGTATTTAACCACTACATAAATGTACATGTAAGCTTACAAGTCATCCTCTACGCTGGTAAAAGTAACAAGCCAGTTACAACTGGGGACATATTTCAGCTTCAATTTGTAAATTAATATTTCAATACTCTTATACTATTTATTATTGTATTATTTCCAGGAGGTTAAAATCGTCTTAATATAGGCATGACAATTCAGCTCTCTTAAGGTTGTACTATTAATCTGTTTAATTCTAATTCTATATTGAATAGTCAGACTTTAGAATTTCTTATCCAACTGATCTTATTGCTTCTTTACTGTGAAATATATGGAGATAACGAACAGTATTCAAGCTCAAAAGTCCATTAAACAATACAAAATAGGAGCAGAGCAAACACGGACCTCTAAACATCAGAGGTGGGATCAGGTGCCATGGAGGAATGAGCATCCCCTGCCGACCGGTCACACCCGCCGTGTGCTCCTTGTCATGATCGGGAAATAACGGAAAAATCCGTTGACAATTCAGTGTGTAAATAATGGCCTAACAATTAGTGTGAAAAACGTCAGTCAGCATTTGACTCAATGATAAATTGTATTTGCTGACAAATACTTCTTTAGCCTGTAGCGGAATAAAATACATGCATGTCGGGAAAACACTCAACTCAAGAATTTGATGAACACAAAAAAAAACTACAGACATGGATCATAAATCACTGGGAGGAGAGATTAAAAAAACAGTTTCAACATACCTTTGGGCCATTATAAATTTTCCAGTATTAAATTTGTATTACTTGCTTGATAACTATCTGATCGCATTCTAACTAAGCAAAGATGCTCATGGATGTAATAAAAACTAAATATCGATTGAAATGTAAAAAGAAATCCAATCTTGACCACTGTAAATGATGCTTATAAATATTATCAATCTTTAATTGAACACGTGTACATATCTCCGCGTGTAAAATATATCCAGATCGTTTGAAAGCTTTTACTTCAAAAATTATACCCGGGGTATCCAGAGTGACACAGACTACGACCTCAACGTGTGTAGAGATTTTTTTGTGACATATACGACTTACCTTAATCCCGAACCGGCTATATATATGCTTAAAAAAATGTACTATGGAGAATATGAACAGTAATTAGACTCAAACGTCAAATGAAACAATACAAATCGGGAACAGAGCAGACAGGGACCTTTAAAACATCAGATGTGGGATCAGGTGCCATGGGAGAGTAAGCATTCCCTGTCGACCGGTCACACCCGCCGTGTACTCATTTTCATGATCGGGCAAACGTAATAAGACAATTCAAAGTGTAAATAATTGTCTAACAATTAGTATGAAAAAAACGGCAGTCAGCATTCGACTTAATGATAGATTGTATTTGTTGACAAATCATTGTAGCCACCATAGATCTTGCCATGACATTAAACGAGATTGTTGTTATCTCTGTTTCATCAACTTGATTGTCAATACCGTATAAGCAGAAATTGTAGCGAAAATTCAAATTTTGGCACATCTAGCGAGGGTGTTAGGATCGCTTAAGCTAAATATCGCTAACATTTTGTTCCGCATTTGAGGTAACAGTTATCTATTTATACACCATAAAATCGCAAAAAATTTTTCTCGTTGAAAGTTATATCTGATTTTGAAAGACAAATCGTCAAATTTGCGTCCCGCTAAAGATTCCACTTATACGGTATCTTGCTCAAGTGCAAAAACGGACCTCTGAAAACAAAGGTGGAATCAAGTGCCATGAATGTGCTATGGAAGAGTAGGCACCCTTGTCGATCGTCACATTGGTCTTTTTCATGATCGGGTAAATAGAGTAATCCATAGTCGATTCAGTATGGAAATAATGGTTACCAACTGAAATGCATGAAATATGCCAGTCAACATTCCACCTAACTGTGTTGTATTTGCCAACACAACCTGAAATTTCGCTGACTTTTAACAAGATTGTGGAAACCTTTGTAGCAACAACTTAGTTGTAAGTATTTGACAAGATTTCAGGTGAACAAGAGCGTTTTATCGTCAATGAAATACTCTAAAACCTCTATGATGTAATGTTTTTAATTGGTTTTTAGATAAAATCTAAATGATTCTGTTTTGTTTGAAATTAATGTCATTGACCTCTGTGAAAGAATGTCATTTTTTAAATGAACTCTTTTCCAGAGTACCTGTCTCCAAGACATATTTTACTGGTCACTTTTTCCCTTCAAAATCAGAATCAAGATACAGGGCATACTTTCTATTTGTAAGAAAATATTTTTATAAAATTAAATACCGGTATTAAGCATTTCTTTAAAATATAAGTTCCATGAAATATATGGAGATAACGAACAGTATTCAAGCTCAAAAATCCATTAAACAATACAAATTTTGGAGCAGAGCAAACACGGACCTCAAAAACATCAGAGGTGGGATCAGATGCCATGGAGGAGTGAGCATCCCCTGCCGACCGGTCGCACCCGCCGTGTGCTCTTTGTCATCATCGGGAAATAACGGAAAAATCCGTTGACAATTCAGTGTTTACATAATGGTCTAACAATTAGTATGAAAAAAATCAGTCAGCATTTGACTCAATGATAAATTTTATTTGCTTACAAGGTCATTGTATCGACCATAGAACTTACGAAATGATGACTTTAACGAGACAGCTGATATTCTTGTTTCATCAACTTGTTTGTCAATAATTTACCTCGTTTTAGAAATTGTACATACGTAATGCATGCTCTTGCATATCGAATCAACTGAGAGATATAAATCCCGTATGCAGGCGACGAAGGTATATTGCTGCATAAGTAAGGGAAGTTGACGATTGAGTTTATCATAAAGCTTGGTTATTAGATTACCATTAACGTCTTTCTCAA